AGAAGATCAACGAACCAGGCGGTTTTCATGGGTTTGTTTTTATAGGGGAAATTTAGGGTGTTTTTGACCGTTTGTTGCAAGAAAGTCTGCAACACACCCTGTATAGGTCTATAATTTTGGACTTTCATAGGATCTCCTTTTTTATGCATTAAATATCATTGAAGCGTTGTTCATCATATCAACTTTTTTGTTTTTGAATTTTATAACTTCTTTTTTGCCGTTGTTTAACTTCCGTCTGAGAACTTTCAAGCTTTTGTTTTGTTCGATTGTTTGCTGTCTGCACCAGTTACATATGTAGTATCTACTGATACTGCAAATACTGCCTGGGAAAAAAATGGGACACAGGCTTAATAGTTCACACCTGAACTATGGAAATTGCTGACTAATAGACTTTAAGGAATATTACATTTTAATATAACTATTGTATAAAATCATTCTTCCACTAACTTTCAAACTGACAAGTTGTTATAAGGAAATAAACCTTTTTAAAGTCTCTTCGTCGTTCGATATACGTAATTCGTCTATTGTAATGTCTTATGTCGTTCCGGATATTTCGGGAGATTTGTTTTTAGCTTTTATTCAATTCTCTTCGTTGCTCTATTAGTGCTCTGGTGTGGGGGCGGATTTTGTTGTCGTTTTCATGTTTTAGGCAGAGCTCATTTGTTGCTTTTATTAATACTTCTGTTATGTTTTTATTTAGCTTATTAAATTCTACGTCGTTTGTCTACTGCCCTACCGTTAATCCATAATAATCTACTGTTAAAACGTTACGTTAAATACTTTCAATAAAATTTATCAGTTTTCTTGGGAAATTCTGTAAGCCGTAAGTAAATAGTGGCTCCAATAAATTTTAAAAGGCCACCCAACAGGCAAAGTCACATTTCGACAGTTTCAGTCTAGTCTCTATTAACACACGCTGATGAGATTCATACTTTTTTATATATTTTATGTATAAATCACATTAGCTTGAAATTTTGCAATCCATTGTGTAGCATCTCAGCTTCTCCCGACTGAAACTCTTCCCAATGCTGAAATCTGAGGGTGGGAATATTTCAATAAATAAGGTTCGAAAACCATTTAAAAAATTGGAAAAACACAAATTTCGGGGCATTAATTAAATTATCTACTTTTTTATTTTTAAATCTCCCTTCCTATCCATTTTTTTTTTGTTTTTTCCTATCCATTTTACCGCTTTCGAAGTTCTTGGTCTGGCAACGATGCAGTCGCTGCAAACATCATATGATTTTTAGGTTAGAATTTAAGAATGTTGCTTTTTGGTTTTATTCGTATAATATTTGTACAGTGTGCGTGTTCTGCAAACCTTTGAGATACTTTAGTTCTACACGTGCTTCTGATTCACATACGTTTCAACCTACGATTCACTCAGGGGATATTTTGTTGATAAGATTGTAGTTAAAAGGTAATTCCCCGAATTCCATTCCATCATTCTCATTGGTCATTCTTGGCTTATCTGGGCTAAAAGTATTGGCCAGAACTAGAATACTTAAGACGATAAAAATAACAATTGTCTCTTTGGTGCTCGTTCAGTTCTCAGTGTTCGACAACGTCATCCGTTTCTGTGACTTTTACAGGGAGGAGCATTGCAAAATGCCGGAAGATAATGAAGATTTTCTACCAAGAGACTATCAAGTTGCTCTAAGACAAATTGCATTAGAAAAGAACAGTATTATTTATCTACCTACAGGATCTGGAAAGACTTTCATAGCGATATTGGTGCTAAAGCACTTGCAGAAATGTAGCCCGTAAGTATTCGCTTGTTAATAGCCAAAAGTTTTTTCTTTAAATTTCTGTTAATTTGTTTCGCATTTAGTGTGCAGACAGTTTTTATTGAATCGGAAATACTTTTCAAATATACCAATTTTTCTCGGTTATTTTAGTTGTTTCCCTGTCTAAAATATGTTTAATTAAATATTGCACAATACTTAATCAACACTTACATACAGCGCTCGATCTAGGGAGGCTACGGGGGGCTATAGTATTAATGTCATGCAACATGAAGATCATTTATCATTTCCTTAGAATACCTACCTACATTAAATTTTATTTGAAATTTCGGTGGATTTATATTACTGTAAAAATTGTTTTTTACAAGAAATGATCAGGAGTTTTTTGTTGCAGCTACAAGTGTGAGGCGTTGAATATTTTTTCATGTTGGGTACTAAACTCATTGTTTCGTTTCCATAAGAGCCTAATGGAGACTTTATACATGCCATTATGAAAACAATTTTATTTTATGCCATTTGAAAGAAATGCTATTAAAGTATGTCTCATTAAATAGTTTCAATTCGCGGACATACGGAAAAATATTAAAATTATGAATTTAATTTCATGGTAAATAGTGTCGGCAAATAGTTTCTTTGAATTTTTCCACTTTATTATTTGAATTTGTATGTATTATTTAGTATTTACTTAGGATTATTAAGTATTTACTTAGTATTTATTTAGGATCCTAGTCCTGATTAAATCCTGATTTTAATCATGATTTAAATCA